TGCTACATGGATAGATTTACTCGACAACCAGGTTTTGCTTCCCTTCAGTTTTCAGTTTCGTGCTGCAGAATGTGCTGGTTGAACTTCGTAAATTAAAAAGCATACTTTTATATTTGATCACACACCGCTTACATCAGAATTTTTTATCTAAATTTACTCGTGAATTTTTTGTAAAGTTTTTGTAAAGGAGGCGGAAGTTTACTGCTTCCGTGATTGCTTCTGCTAGCATCAATAGTTATACTGGAAATATCAATAACTTTTCGAACATCATAAAATACACCCAGACAGTTGATGTGGGACCCGATGATGTCGATTTTTGATGCACCTGCGCGATGCTATATTTTTGCCATACATCTTTGGGTACTGGTGAAGTGTCTATTTCCTCGTAAATTACGCTTACGTTGTTCACGGATTTTCAGCAGGGCGAAAAAAAAGTGCTTTTGAGATTAAGGAGTAATGTGACAGAATTGCGATAAATGGTTTAAAAAAAACAACCTCTAAACAGATTGCAGCATCCAGGTTGACGCTGGAATTGCAGGTGGCGAAGGTGCGAAAAAGTTCGGGAGAAAAGGAATATTCTGGATTAGAGGAGATAAGAGCGAGATAAGACGTTTCGGTTCATTAATTCATATAGGTCTTAACGCTGCGATTGGACCTCGTCAGTATGACGGTCATAGTGCATAAAGAGAAGAAAGAAAGAATGAAAGCAGGAAGTGAAAGAAAATGGAAACCGAAAGTGAGAGGAAACAGAGATTGTAACATTATAAAGTAGGTGAGATGAGGAGAGGGGGGGAGGGGGCGGGGCGGGGGTTAAAAACAGAGGAGAGAGAGGGGAGCAGAAAACTAAGTTGGCATTTGTTGAAGTTAATTTTAAAAACTATGAGAATCACTGGAAAAGTGGTTAACCCGGTGCTCATTCGTTTCAGGTAGCACCAGGCTTATTCAACATTTGCTCATATTTGACGACCGGTTTTCATGCTGAGCTTCATATGGCGCTGATTTCAATTCGTCCGCTTCTCTAAATCTTGAGTCTCTTCAGACTTGTCACTTCACAATTATATATTGGTGACGGGTATGTCTGTCTGTCTGTCCGTCTCTCTGTCGCTTCCGTCGTCAAATTATTGCGATCTGTCGTAAAAGCTGGTGGTGGGTATGAGGTAAGCAGTGTTGCTGCCGATATCGAAGATGGGCAAGTTCGACTACGCCAGTAGAACAGTCAGTTCTTTTTACGCCTGGATTTTTCGTTTTAGTGGTCAATTTTTAGCCCCCGCAGTTTTTTTCGCTACGGGCACCGGTTTTTCTGGCAAATGCTTCTAGCTAAACAAATTAAGACTGGCCGTCAGAACTGGCAGGAAACACCCCCTTAAAATTTCAGCTTTCTAGC